CTGAATCGTGATCGGTTCTGGGTAATCCAGAACGGCTGCCATTTTGCTTCAAAGGGGTCAGATGCCTTGATAATTAGTAGTGTGTCCTATGAAATCTTAGGAATCGGTTCCGATTCGGCATTTCTGAATGTTTACAGTGATGCCATGCTTCTGCAGTCGTTCGAACACAATGTCCAGATGCTGAAGATGGGACTCTCTGTTAGGACGTGCTACCAAGTAGTCACCAACATACGCATGTACGAATTTGAGACTTCGAAAAATGTAATCGATGAACCTTTGGAAGTTTTGAGTAGCATTTCTTAGGTCAAAAGGCATTCGCAAAAATTTGTAGAGTTCCATGGGCGTTATGATAGCGGTTTTGGGAATGTCGTCAGTAACCATAGGGATCTGGTTATAGGCTTTAATCAAGTAGATTTTCGAAAAGACAGTTGTACCTTCCAAGGTAGCTGTCAAATCGTGAATGTGAGGCGACGGTTAGCGATCGGAAATAGTTTTTGCATTCAAACGCCGATAATCACCAGCTGGACGCCAATCATTGCTGTCCTTTTTAGGGACTATGTGCAAGGGGGATGCTCATTGGCTGTTTGACGGTCGAATGATTCCTAACTCCGTCATGTGGTCAATTTCGTTTCTGACCAACCTCAGCTTTTTGGGGCCATTCAGAGTGCTTTCGAGAATGCAGGTGGTCCTGTTGTCGTGATGTGATGTGGAACATTGCTGGTTACACAAGGCAATCTCGGTTGTGGTTGGTATATACCCGAGCACATATCGAGTATTGGTTGATAGAATGGGTCTATTGTGTGCCTAACTGTGACTGAAAACATTCTGCAACCAGAAAAAGAAGTTACGCAAACAGATAAATTAGTGTTTCCGTCTACTAGCCTCCGTTGCGCTTATCGATGAGTAGATTATGGTGTTGTAGGGGGTCCATATCAATCATTGGCATAGAATGTTCTGCAACAACGAAGATCCAATGAATAGATTTGCGTAAACTCACGCTAAGGAAAACGTATCTCTCACCATATGTGGTGATTGACTTTCCGTTTACTGTCTATAAGTTTAAAACAGATTCGTGAAGCTGGTCGTTGGAATTTGCAGGAAGAACGCTAACGAATGAAGATACTACAGATATTGTAGTTTGACAACACTTTACCAGTAACACCTGTAATTGAATCGCGCCCATCAAATGAAATCAAAAGTCAGAAGCAGGGAGGCTGGAAGATATATTTGATAGATTATCAACATATCGAGAAGTGATTGATCTAAACTGGCTAGTGATCGCAGGAGACGTTGAGCACGCCGTTCCAACTCGTGATCTGGTGCGGATGCATGACCGAGCGCCTTCAGCTAAGTGAGTCCATTGAAACTAATGTGGTGAGCATCCAATGTCGAATACTTACAGAGCTATTGAATTTGGGAATTTTTTCACAGCTTTTATTATCTACCCACTGCTAAAGCCTTCTTTTGTGTCTGAGATTATTTTTTCCACTCTTACTCAATCATCTCGAAACAGAAACAACAGGTTTCCCATTTCATTCTATAACTGCACCTAAAAGCAATGGAAATGCTAGATTTCTCAGTCGGTGAATAGTCAGAGGACGGCCTTACCAAATGTCCGTTAGTGTATCCTCACGTCGTTGTTCCAATACAAACTCTACCAAATACCGAGTAGGAGAGTGAAGATAATACTTTTGTAAAGCTAGAGATAAATCAAGAATGAAACTGAAGAGTACTAATACATAATCTGAATGTTGAGATATTCTTAAATGACGATGCTTGAATTGATGGAGCTAGGCGAACCAAATCAGGTTTAAAACTCCTAACACTGACAGTATAGCCTAAGAATTTGATAGAAATAAGATGAGACTGCCAATTGGATGCATTTACGGTTTAAGTAAATTCAAAAGATGTTCAACGTGTAACTTGGTATTTTCAGGATGGGGGGGGGTTGATTGAATGTGATGTGAAAATAACAAAGTGATCACTAGAATATTAAGAGGCGTTTGTTACATGTATAACTTAATTAACCAATTAGTGCTCAGCCAATGTTTCTTACTGTTAACAGGTACTTGAGTACCTGGGACACACGGTAATTTTATTGATGAGTTCAGGTTGTAGTTCCTATGGTCACGTGTTTAGTTAAGCTTGTATTCGACGAACTGGTGTACACAAACATCGGATTTTGGTGGAAACTGTGCGAACCACTTCGAAGAACTCAAACATCTAGTAGGCTCAAAACAACTTTATAAATTAGCGTAAAGGATTAAGAGGTATGGTATTCATCAAGACTAAACACCAGCTATGATTCAAAAATGCTTGGCAATCAAAAGGATAAACGGGTTTTTTACACAAATCGTCCATAGTCTAATATTCTGCTGGAAAAAACTATCACCGGGGTAAAAAAAAGAATGATTTCATTGTGGAGCTTTTATCGTTCTTTTGGACAAAATGATCAGCAAGTAGTTGGACAGCAAACTATCATTCTCAGATGTGTTGATAACCAGGACAAAACAATGAAACTGAAGATCAAAATATATCGGGAGTAATCTCATGCAGATCGGGTTCTCAGCGGCTGGAGCGACAATCCACAAAATTACAAAACCATAGGCTTACAAACTCTATTCAAAGAAAAACACTGCGTCACCATTACACCATAGGAGAAAGGAAAATATTTAGTGACTATTGCTGAAGAAAAGAGTCTACCCACTTGACTTCCCCAAGAAATAATAACCAGACTTATCAGCAAGGTGGAGGCCAAATGTGGAAATCAACAATTGGATTATTCTACCATATATCAAAAATTAACTGTTTAGACTATTTGCGACAGGAAAGCCAATCTACCACATACCAAAGGGAGGAACGACAGTAAAAACTGTGAACATCATCTACAAGATAAACTGTTTCAACTGCAAGGACACCAAATCTTTGTCTACATGAATACCAACAGGTTGTTGACTCTAATGATACGTCTTCGACCACGTCAATGCACAGATACTAATCAGACTGAGGTTATTTTCAGATTTTGGATATAGACAAAACTACTATCAGAGAAAGACTAAAGGCTTGACACCCAGTCAGTCAGCTACAACGTAGGACCAGGCACATTTATGCATCGGTCCAAGTTGCCATACCTCGTTAGCACAACAAGATGAACACCGGATTCATAGAAGTAATTAATTTAGTAATGGTAGTATATAAAGAAAGGTTGTATATAAGGATATAGTACAGGAAGGAAGAGAGATATGAAGCAATTTTAATCTCATAGTTTAAGAGAAGATAAAGAGTGTATACACCTACGCCATTGTGATCGATTCTGAGCCATGTCACCTAGAGTCTCCAACCATTGGTTACGATAGTCACGCGGACCCCAACCAGGTAGTCTGCATCTGTCAACATGGCTCAGACTAGAAGTTAGTGACCTTAAACACTGATGCCATGTTTTGGTTTGGCCGCCCCTAACTCTCTCCCAACAATCCCCTACACTAGTCATCATAGCGCGTCGTGGTAATCGGTGTTCAGGCATACGTAACACATGGCCCAACCATCTCAGTCGATGAAGATTCATCACCTCATCAACTGATTTACCATCGTTCCCTCATACCCTGTGTCTAACCTCACTATTACTTACCCGGTGATCCCAGCAGATGAGAGCAATATTTCTAAGGCATCTGTGGTCAAATACTAGTAACCTACGAGTATCTTCTACTCTTAATGGCCATGTTTCACAACCGTAAAGTAGAACAGAGCGAACTGATGCGCAGTATACTCGTCCATTTAATTGATAGACGGATATCTCGTCTTCGCCATAGGTGACGTAAGTTGGCAAAAGCCAAACGAGCTTTTCGAATCCGCGCTGAAATTTCGTCAGACACCAACCCATTAGGGCTGATCAGACTTCCAAGATAAGTGAAGTTGTCAACGCGTTCGACTACTTCACTCCCTATCCTTAGTTCAGGTGTTGACGTAGGCCAGTCCTGGAGTAACAATTTACATTTGGATGGGGAGAAACGCAGGTCAATCAGCAGTCAATGAACACATCGAAATCCAAAAAAATTAACAATCGATTGGAAAAACCATAAACATAGGACTACAAGTCAGATTAAACAGGTAGACAGACAAAATAAATCATATAGAATGACAGGATCGGTTGTAAGCCATATGTAGCGATATCCGAATAGCCCATTTGTTCCTAAAGGTCGTGCCGCTTTTCTTCAGATGAACAAGAAGAACCTTACAATCAAATCATTCAATTCAATTCGTGCTGGCTTGTATGATTCGATTTTTCTTTGGTACTCTCCCGGGGACAAATCACCGGTTGTTAATTCCTATAGCTAAACATAACATTGTCAACTAACCTGCTTTGGCTTTAAGCCTTCTTCCTAAGTGCCACCTACATTATATTTCTATTTTATAAATAACTACTGGAACCAGATTGAAGTCTTACCTCTGATGTGATATACAAGATGAAGGTTTTCTGATTCTGACATCGTCGATGCCTCCGAACCAGGGCCTATCAAGTTAGTAAGACGTCTAGACAGACCATCACAACAGTCTGACCAGGGGAATGTATTAAAGAAAAATTTCTCCAAGTTATATTCAGGACTCAGATACTCTGCGACTACTCTGTCATGCCATATACATATCAGTGAAAGTTAAATCAACTCATCTGTTATACTTTCGTGTCGCTAAGTTTACAATGTACATATAAGCTATTCTTCCCGTTGAGGATAACATCCCTAACCCAACTACTTAGTCAATCAGTTCTGTAGAGCAAAATGTTTAGTTATTCAGTGTGAAGCATTTTCAATTCAAACTAAGTTACATTCATTTAACATATAATGCAACTGATATACAAATCACTAACTTCGATGTTAAAACATGAATGACATTTATTAGGTTTGTTGATTTACACAAGCATTCGATAAATCAAATCAATTTCAATGTCATAAAAGATAGAAATGTAGTTGGTTGTCTGGTAGAAATAAGATAGTAGATGAAGTTCATTTCTTACGCTGGCCACCACCAGATAATATTATTGCCATGCGAACAAATATGTTCACAGCATCCAATAAAATTCGAATAGAACTGAAGTAAAGAAAAGAATAAAGATTCCCTCATTATTACTATATTGAATATTTCAATAGAGTAAAGTAATCATCAATATAGCAGGTTAACTAAACAAATGAGTTTCTAACTATCAATAAGGTGTGTGAAAATATAGTGAACTTTTAGGTCTAATATAAATTCGGTAGACAAAATATAAAAATGAATTTTGTTATAATATAAATGACAAGCGAGTTAACATATTGAAAATGTTAATACCTATAATTTAAGCTTATTAAGAAAGTTAAAAGGTGCATTTCATATGACAATTAATACTTAATTATGGTAAAACAGAAGTAAAAATAAATTTTTCTTTTTGTTATGAAAGCTTTGAATAAAGAGGAATCAGAGTAAAGTAAAATTGATCATTTCAAATATTCAGTTTATATCGATACATCGAATATATATAAACTGATTAGTTGGTAGTTATGAGGTACATCATTATAAGAACTAAGATAAGTAGAAGAGTTCTTTTGATCAGCCCAAAGCATTATTACACCTGAATTCAAATTTTGCACTTATTTACATGAAATATTCATTCTGTTAAGCTGAGTCTAACAGAAAATCTTCACATTTTTAAATGTAGACTCATATGTGAAATGTATTGTTTAGTTTATTAGAACTTTCTGTATGTCAAATCGGAAATTCATGTGGTATAACTTCAAAACAATGTGTTTGGCTTAAACCTGACCGCTTTTGGATTATTAACTTACATAAAGGACTATAGAACCGGAAGAGAATTTGCTGAAAAGAATATTCTTTGTTTATATACGTCTTTTTAAATAAACTCTGTCCCTTTCCAATCCTCTTTCGTAAGTTGAATTATCCTGCTTACCAATATTCAGTAACAAGCAGTCATTCTAATGACATTTGAGAGTACAGAATGTCATGTTTACCAGTTATCGTAATTGCATTTTTTAATACTTTCAACCGTTACTTTCGATATCAATGCATTTCTCAAACGTAAACACAGTTCAAAGTGTAATGATAACGTTGCATAGTAATATACTGGTAGATAGAGTTCAATTATTGCAAAGTCACTAACTTGTTGATCGGGTCAAATGGTTTTAATGCTTCTGGATTCTGAAATCCTTTGTTGATTGGTAAAATTGATGAATAGAAATCTGGAGGTGGGTGAGATTCTGCCCGTCTTATTACATGTTGTGTATCGTAAAGTAGGAATCCAGAAAACAGAAGAAGGCCGCCGTAAAGACTGATGGATGCTAAACCAGATCCCAAGCGACTTACAGGGGATAAAAACATAGAACCTTGTAAAAGAAAACAGGTTAGATTATGTTTACTTACAACTTAGATCAAAGACAGTAATTGTACTTTTGATTAACATTGAAATTGTTATAACAATTTGAAAAAATAGATTACCATTTAAGAAATCTAGTTTTTCATATTCAATGGTGAGTTACTACGCTATAAATTACTCATTAAAGAGTCTTTCTTATGACATAAATAGTTTAGAATTATTCATCGGTATAATTTATTTCAAGGTTTGATTTTGAACAATTAGAATTATTAAAAAAGTTAAATATATAGATTTTAGGGTCTCTCTCTCATTAATAAGTTATTTATTTTAGGGCCCCTAGTTTTTACATCTGTGACGACATTCATGTAGATTATCCGAGTACTTTTTATCAAAATGGTTTGATTTGGATTAAAAAGGATGCATGATGCTTTTTCCAAGATTTCAATCAAGAAATACTAACGTCATAAGTTGTACTTGGTTAGGTCAAACGAACTTTCCAATATTTGATGCCCATACGAGTCGATCAGCTGATGCAAACTCCGACCGGCACTTAGTAACGGATGTTGAAAGAACAAACAAGAAACGGAGTAAAAACATCATAAACACCACTAGAAGCGATCAACAATGACCACGTCTATACATGTTTTTATTTATTTATTTAAACACATATATATTGGTACAAAAGGGCACCAGGTACATATGCGCCACACAAAATAATGAAAGTAGGTAGATAAAGGATGAAAAGATAAGGCGGGCTGAAATGTACAACCAGAAGATTCTTTCAGTTAGGAAAGTTAGAACCATTCTTTATGTAGAAAGTAAAAGAAGGTTGCAGCAGGATCGCCACTGGCTTCTATTCTGAGCCATATCTGATAACGTCTCTAGCCACTGTGTTGCACTATCTCTCGGACCCCAACCAGGGAGTCGTGAAGGACCAACAGAAGCTAGCCCTTTGCAGCTCTCTTTCATGCCACGACACCATGTCATACACTGACCTCCTCTCCGCTTTCTCCAACCAGTCCCAGGGTCGGCAAATAATGCACGACGCGGAAGTCTCTGGGACGACATTCGTAAAACATGTCCGAGCCACCGAAGTCGGTGTTTCAAGATGGTGACACCAATTGAATTATCGTCTCTGCGCCCGAACACACGATGCCGAACCTCTGCATTACTAACATGGTGTTGCCACTGGATGTCAGCAATCCTTCGGAGACAACGATGATCGAACACAGAGAGACGTCTAACATCCTCAACTCGGAGAGGCCAGGTTTCACAAGCATAGAGCAAAACTGCTCTCACCGACGCGTTGTAGATCCGACCTTTTACAGCCAGACTAACATCACGAAGGCGCCAAAGATGGCCCAGATTGGCATAAGCCGCTCTGGCTTTCATTAAACGTGCATCAATCTCATCACTCACGCCACCACCAGCACTTATATAGCTACCTAGATACACGAACTTCTCAACTACTTCGATCTCCTCACCATCCAGGGTGAGTACAGGATGAGAATCCTGCCAGTCTTGTAGAAGTACTTTGCACTTGGAGGGTGCAAAGCACATGACGTACCTGCGGACACTGATTGCCAACTGATTAAGTGCTGATTGCATGCCTTGGGCATTATCGCACAGTAAGACAATATCATCCGCATACTCGAGGTCGAGAAGTCGTTCTCCAGGCAACATATCCACACCGCCATTACTTACATCCATCAGAGCTGTTTCTAGGATGTCGTCGATGGCAAAGTTGAAGAGGAATGGGGAGATCGGGCAACCCTGCCTAACCCCACTGCTCGAATGGAACAAGGGAGAAAGGTGGTTGTATGCCCTCACTCTGCCTGAGGTGTTCGTATACAGGGCCTTTAAGATGTTAATGAACTTCTCAGGCACACCCTTCTTCAATAGACAATCCCAGAGAACAGTCCTGTCCAACGAATCGAAGGCAGCCCTGATATCAAGAAACACTACGATTGTTGGCCTGCGATAAGTATGACGGTGTTCTAACATTTGGCGGAGGGTGAAGATGTGATCAATGCATCCTCGACCAGAACGAAAACCAGCCTGTTCCTCGCGAGTCAATCGTTCTCGGGTTTTAAACAACCTACGAAGAATGATAGAAGCCAATAGTTTGGACGCGATCGAAAGTAGACTTATCCCCCGATAGTTGCTACAGGAACAACGTGAACCCTTTTTAAAGATAGGGACGACTATTGACTCATTCCAAAATGTTGGAACACTTTCTTGCTCCCAAACCTTTCCAAACAACGCAGTCAGTTCCTTAGCCAGAAAGTCACCACCATCTTTAAAAAGAGCCGGAGGTAAGTCATCTGGGCCAGGTGATTTATAACGTTTCAAGAGTTGGAGTTCCTTGCGGACTTCCGCCTCGTTTGGTGGATCAGTCGTCACCGGCCATGGGGAGCAGGACAAGCTGGTTGATGTTGCCGGAGCAGCAGGCCAGTTGAACTGTCCTTCGAAAAATTCCGCCCATCGTCCAAGACGTCGACAGATGTTAGTGATTGGCATCCCGTCATCCTCGTAGATTGTTTCACTCACACCAGACTTCTTGCTGCCAGTGGCTCGGATGAGTTGGAAGAGCTTCCGGCAGTTACCAGATGCAGCTGCTGCTTCCATCTCATTAGCACGCTCCGACTACCAGGCTTCCCGGTCCTTACACAAGCTTTGCCCGATTTCATTACGTAACAGCCTTCGTTTGTGGTCAAACTCACGGTCACCCGGAGTAGACCGACGGGCTTCCATCAGTTGTAAGGAGCCAGAAGAAACCCAGTGCTTGTAAGCGGGACGTTTCGCGAAGCCGCAAGCGGCTTTACTCGCCATTTTCATGGCGTCATGAAGATGCAACCAATGCTTACCTATACTTTTCGGTGGGGTGGTAGCTAGCCTAGAGGCTAGCTCCGCTCGATACTTACTTGCAACAGAAGTTGCAGCCAGTTTACTAATATCAATCCGTTGGTGGTGGTCAATCCTTCGGCCACTGAAAAGTAAGGTGAGATTGGCGCAGACCAGGGCATGATCAGACTCCAGATAGGTACTCCAAAAGGAGCGGCAGTCTTGTACACAACCACGCCAGCGGTAGCTGATCGCGATGTGATGAATCTGAGTCCAGGCTTGGGATGCAGAGGGAGGACGCCAGGTGGCACACCGGCGATGACTGTGCCGGAAGTTAGTGCTGGCCAGAAACAGGTTGTGGTCTGTGCACAGTTGCAGCAAACGGTCCCCGTTATCTGTCCTGCGACCAACAAGTCCCCATCGGCCACCTAGACGACTCTCTTCTGTGCCTAGACGCCCGACCTGTGCATTCAAGTCTCCGGCTAGTACTACAATATCTGTCGAACGCGCTTTCTGGAGAAGAACTGTTAACTGATGGTAAAACTCATCCTTGATTGCATCCGGGCTGCAATCTGTCGGGGCATAGGCGGAGATGACGAAAAGACACCGTTTCTCACGCCGATTTCTTCTCACTTTGATGGAACTTTCTAATCTAACAGCACATAACCGACTGTTAATGGGGATCCAATCGATTAGTGCTGCCTCAGCTCTAGCGCTTAGTGCGACACCAACGCCAGCAAGACCAGACGAAGATGCCACAGGGTCCCCGGATAAGCGCACGTGGAACAAGCTTTTCGAGGCGACAGATGGAGAGCGGATTTGTAGTACTTCACTAGAGTCTTGAATACGGGTCTCGGATAGACAACAAACGTCAACATTAAGACCTTCCAAAGACATAGCCAGCCCTATCTGTTGTCTGATCTGCATTAGTGTGCGAACGTTGAAGGAAGCCAGCTTGAACGGCGTACGTGGTTTCAGAAAGACTGCCTCAGTATTCATAATCGGTGGAAGCATTCACTTTCAACCAGACAGTGACTGGAGATCGTTTAGATAGGACAGATTTTCCACCAAGAGCGAGCTGCTGCATAAGTTGAAGAGTAAGGTTACACAAATTGGGGATAAAAGGGGGTGAATTAGCGATATGGTAAGTAATAATAATAATAATAATAATAATAATAATAATAATAATAATAATAATAATAATAATAATAAAGGTAATAATAATAATAATGTTAATTGTTTTGCTTTTAGTATGACCAGGGATATCGTCAATAAAGTTCATAATTTCATTCATTTGTTTGTGTGTGGGCTGTGATACTGCCCGGGTGCCCAAACCGAAGCAGGTGGTTTTCTTAGGGGACCACACCCCGAGCCTTTGACCTAAAGGTCTGATCCACAAGGCAGTGGAGCATCGTGAGGAGATGCAGTCCCATGGTTGCCGTTGACCAACAGCAGGTTCTTCCGCCATTCGTTCCATCAGGATACTGGAGCCCATGTGCACCATTGGTTTGGAATCAGGGTTTTCCAACTCCCCTAGGTGGACCCTCCGTGTCCACCAATCCGGTTATAGCGCCGAACATTCGCTTTTCGTCCTCTCACTTTCGTAAACAACACCCCCGCCACGAGAAGGCAGTGAGTAGGACTTCCCTGGCAGAGGCTATATATTCGCTGGCCATGTGAGAGCATTTCGAGAGAGAGAGAGAGTAGACCCTCCCCACTCTCGGCCGTACCAGGGCATGAAAAAACTAACAGACGACCTGAAGGAGACCTTCAATCACAAACAAACTGAGCAAACCATACTGAACATTGCAACTTAATTTTTCAAACAAGCTAGGGTAACATCACCTAAACACAAATGGAAAAGTAAACTAACCCACCAGGATAAAGAGGAAAACATAAACTAGGAAAAAAGAGGCTTCAGAACGAACTAAAAGCCTTGAAAACGGCAATCTCAACCGGAAAAACAAAGATGATCATAAATAAACAATACAACAACCAGCCAACTTGTTTTGACAACAAACTAAGTAAAGAAACGTCTTTCAACCATCTGCAATCTTTAATCCAACTAGACGTACTGCTGAACATGCAGTTCACCAAAAGGTCATTAAAGCTCATTATACAGCAATGGAAATCTAACTAGTCTTGAAATCATACAATACTAGTCTACTAACTAAGAGGAAGCTGATGGAATCTACTATAATTCCGACCTTAATCTATGGTCTAGAGACTATAGTATTAAGAAAGGATTGGATGAGACTCGTTATCTTAATACAGCAAGATGGATGATCCTCAGAATAAATAGCCGTAAACATCTAGCAGCGGAGGAACTAAAAAGTAAGATTAGTCTCTCAAACATGACCACAAAAATCCAGCAGAACCGACTAAACACCTGGTACACAGATCACAGAACATCAAACAAATTGAAGTTCACAATTATCGAAAGCACCATAATAAATAAAACTCTACTTAGAAGGGCTCAAAAAATAATTACCAACGACTTGGGCAGAGCACCCAACTAAGATAAAACTAAATAATGAAGGAGAGTACAAACAGAAAATAATTTGCCAAGGAACGCAAATACACGAATAAACAAACAAACTGCAGCCAAATGTACACAATAATGAAAGGGATGAACAGACACTCAAAGAACAACCATCCAACAACTTAGACTTTCTGTTAGGTCGACTTACAATAAACTCTATCAGAGCCTCCAGAGAGGCTCATAAAGAGCCCAACCAATCAGCGATCAGTTAGAAGCTATGCTACTAAAATAATGAGGTCCTGATTGGCTGTTAAACATATTGTTACTATGGAATCTCAAGGTCTTTTTAATTACTATAAAACCCCTGTGTTTTCTGTACATAAATGAACCTTGTAGTAAAGTGATTCTCGGATACTCGTGTCTTCTCTCTGGTCTTTCAAGTCGCTGAGTAGTGCTAGCCTGGGGTTATCCGAATAAAGCGTTCAACCTACAAGTCATAACACTTTCACAGATACAAAAGTGCAAAAGTGCTCGATGGCAAACTGTTAAAAGTTATATAAAACTATGGGATGGCTAAATAGTCATATTTGATACTGTCACCTACAGCCTTATCAACCCATAACAACAAACATAAAAACTCTAAAAATCACTAAATCAATAACCACAACTACATAAATAACCGTACACGGGCTGAACAAAAATTTTGCTAACAAAATAAAGGTAGAATAAATCACTGTTACGTGATAAGCAAATGCTTGGCAATAACTGGAGAAGTATGACCAAGAAAGACTCAAACAGTTATTACGCCCTGGTAGTTGTGCCTTGTTTCATCATGGAGTGTCTTCAAAAAAGCCAATAGGCTTCACCAACCTTAATGAATGGAAGGGGTACTTGATTGAAAAATGATCACAGAGTAATTGCAACCGGTATATTTATGACAAATACGTTACTAATCAACATAAAAAACACGAATCAAAATTCTATATTGTTGATTAACCTACCAATAGATGACACAAAAACAAGTCCTAAACCAATCGCCAAAGGACCACCCCAGTTGAGGAAACGATCTGATGGTGCTGTCAGTGCAACCAATGACAAGGAACCCACTATACCTCCAGTATACAAGGCAGCTTGAGTAAGAATGGGTCCGCCGACTAAACATATAGGCATCAGGATACCGCCTAAACTCACAGAATATGCAATCCATGCTAAATGCTTAACACTTAGACCCGATTGTGGATATGTTAATGACTAGAAAAAAGAACATACAAGTGAATTCAGATAAAAATATAGAAAATATTGTCGGAAAAAATATTTCCATTAGGAAGAATGAAACATTTTTTAAAAAGCATTTAATAAAACGAAAGGTTCAAATGTTAATCGATTCTACTTGATTTATGAAATTTCGATCAAAAGAGACTGGTAAAATTACTATCAACCAAACAGATACTAAACATTATGGTGTAGGTTTAGATCAATGATAGCAAATTAATGAGCTCAAGTAAATATAAACTATGTTGTATATGAAAACAATGAAATGTTTCGATGAGCTTTGAAATCGAACTCAAACATACACAGTGGTTAACTGGGATTTTATACAGAAGCTAGCCGGGGAATTCATCCTGATACAAAACTGACTTATAAGTAAAATTGATCGAATAAAAGTCAACACCTAATTTATTATACTCACTAACTCTGACACATCAAATGACGTTAAAAATGGAGAAAACCATACAGATTAAGACATGATTTCAATAGTTTAGAAGATACCAAAAAAAACCCGAAGAAATATCATGCGCTATTAGCATCCACAAAATACATGTTATTCACCACCATCAAACAAATAAACACTACATGAAATATGATCATCATATGCAACGCTTTAAATCGCCATACCACATTAGCACAAGATAAAATAATTTAAAGACGAATCCCAGAATAGTAGAAATAGTCGTCATTGTTGTTGTAAAAGCCTTTTAAACAAACAGTCTTTCGCGTTTGCATTTTGGTGCCATGTCCACCCAAGACTACATAGTTACTTCATCGATAGTTAATTTGTATAAAAAATTCCATGTTACCGGTTACACAGACAAATTACGAAACTATCTTACATACTGGTTTAAAAACCTATTTATGTGATACATAAATAAAGTGGTGATCTTTCCATGATGAAGACCGTTCTTAAATGGCAATCCAAGTCAGGAATTTCCTGAGGGGACGACTCGGAATATGGTGCATGACTAAAAAATATTAAAGAAAATCAGAATGAAGCGAACTTTTTTTACATACATTAGTCAAGATGCATGGTTTGTAGGGCCAAGATCTGACTCCAATTAGATCATATGAATGATTGTTTTCAAAATACACATCTTGTCTATTCTCGTATGTAATACATGACTTAATCCGCGTTGGTGAATAATGGAATTAAACTAGTCAAATACGAGAATGGATTTTGTATACATATATTTTGCACACACATTGATCTGGACAGGAAATCGGAGGGACGAGGCGAATACAAGAGAGCGAAGAAAAAACGACACGCATACGTAACACGTGGCCCAACCATCTCAGTTGACGAAGATTCACAACCTCATCAATTGATTTACCATCATTTCCCAATACCTTGTGTCTAAGCTCACTATTACTTAATCGGTGACCCGAGCAGATGCTGGAAATAATTCTAAGACATTTGTGGTCAAATACTAGTAAACTACGAGTATCCTCTACTATTAGTGGCCACGTTTCTCAGCCGTAAATTAAGACAGAACGAACTGCTGTGTAGTATATTCGCCCCTTAATTGACAGACACATCTTGCCTTCGCCATAGGTGACGTAATTTGGCTAAAGTCAAACGAGCAAGAAATTCCCATGGAGCGAAACCAACCTAGAAGACTGGAACTATAATTCGCAGAAAAGGAAAAGTCATTTATGAAGTAAAAAGCGGCGAAATGATATGAGTGCGACATGTAAACCAACTACGGCCGACCAGATGAGTAAGAGACTGGAAGTGATAGAAAGCCGGATTTACCATTAAACACATTAACTGACTTGAACAATGAAATTAAAAAGGACCCAAACAATAGAAAGTATACAACACATCCAAGGCGGTCGCAGAGCATCAAAGGGGAACCTAATCGAATAAGGATAAATCTTTATGATCTTTATTATCCCTTATGCTTAGATCGACTTATGAATTCAACTATTAAAATTAATGCAATCTCCACAAAACCGCCATTTTGATCACAATAATTAACACAAACTTCATAGTGAAACGACCCTTCATTGCAGTACCGTTTAAACCAATAGTAGTGGTCCTTGTTATAAACCAGTTCATCTACCGTATAATGTATCACTCGTAAAATTACTTATGACAAAGTCGAGTAAAATTGAGGAGTAGACAACCCGAACGAACACCACTTTTTTCCGAACTACATATAGTTAAATATAAGAGCCCGTTAGAACTTCGTTAACAGCAAATATTATTAAGTTTGCTAACTAACAGGTTATACTATCAGACGCCAACTGTATCATGTTAAACAGATTTGTTCACTTAGTTTAATCTCGTCCAAGAGGTTAAATATCATTGTGAAGTAATTAAATCAAAGCGGGTTTTGAAATCATATTGTCGTATATTAGAGAACTAAACTACTTCGTTATAGTACTTGGTGTAACAGTATGCACGACTAGAATTGTAGCGTCAAATAGATATTTTAAGGTATGAAGCCTGAACCTAGACACTAGTGATACTTAAGACAAGTAATTTTATCTATAACAAACCAAAACACTAAAATACTAGTTCCTCAGACAATCTGAAGGAGCTTGAGTCTTTGCTTTATCTTGACATGTGGAATCAAACACAATTCAGTGACTGCTTGTAACTGAGTGAAAATACCGATAATAGCAAGAGAAAATGAACAAAATGATTAGTGAAAACAACAATACCGTCAGTAATAGCAAACCAAGTACCAGTGTGGAATGATACTAAGCTAAAAGTCTACACGAAGATGATGAATGAATGCATTTGGACTAACAACTATTTCGTGCCTTATCACTCAAGGATTCCGCTTATAGATTACAATTATCTGATGAACTCAAAGCAAAGATTACACTTTTCGACGTAGCACGAACACACAGTCGAAGGCTAAATTTACTGCTGTCTATAAACCAAAACTATTGAATAGAAGTTTTACTTAAGCCTTAAAAACATTGTGGAATTGCTTACCCTGTCAATGTATAGATGATAATGAATTAGACTGTGTATGCTTGAAATTAGTAAATTATTTAGTGAATACAAACTATGGTAGGTTATTCGACAAACTTATCAAAAAGATGATTACCTGACAAATGACTCCTGTAGTTACGCTCAATACCGCCATTCCAATAGGAGCAAGCCACCCACCACTAAGCATCAAACGACACATAGTAGGAGACTGAAACAATGCGATAGTTGAACCAGCTGCAATTGTGGCACTGGCTAGTAAATAACCATACGTTGCTCGAATACGTTGTTTTACGTAATCCGGCCAAGTAACTGAACGATCAAAAGCTGAGAGTGAACCATCTTTACCGGCTAAACCATAAAGACAAAGGCTACCAATACTAATTGCAGCTGCTCCACCCACTAAGGCTCGAGTTTTATTGAGATCTGAAAAAATGAAAACCACGAACTTAAAATCTACAGCAATATACGAAGAAACAACAAACAGGACTTACACTACGGCGGTTTTTGTAACTTATATTAAAGCCTTTTCGTCCCACTTGGTCCAATAAAATAAACGGTTTTAAGAAGGAAGCTACTAGATGTTATTTTTGAAAAGTAATAATAAAAATATTCACTTTTTCAAAAAACTGAACTGGCATTAGTTACATGGTCAGCCATTCCTGACAGTATATGAATTAAGATTAATTTGAAATGACTTGCTATAAAAATTGACTGAGAATACTGTTATACTAGTGGTAATCACTAAATTTGAAGAACATAGGGGAAAGGGCACACATGTTGACATCCTAAAATGTTAGACATGAGTAGGGCTAAAAAAAAATGTTGGTAAGGGCAAACTTTAACTTCGGGTTGAGACATTGTGTAATCGATTAATGACATATACCAGTGTAGGTAAACACATAAAGTGTTGCTGCAACAAAATGCTGAAAGTGTGAGAATATCAAACTTTATTAGTTATATCTTGTGGCCAAGTGGATGCCCGGTTAATGTATAACGTGATAGGACTGCCAATCAGAGAGCAGTGAGTTATCGACCGGACCAATGATACACAAAAACCGTACGAGCAGTCTAGAGTACTTGTCGGTTCTGCTTTCTGCCTAGCCCAGCCAGTTAAACCCAGAACACCAATAACAGCCCCTGCGGTATATATCGTTATATTTCAAACACACTAAGTTTATATAACAATCAAACTGACAACATTGTACTATAAAATAGAAAATAACATTTGTACATGATTCAGCCAAAAGTGACTGTGAATGTGGGGAACAGTAATTAATAGACTGAGAATAACTCAAGAACGGTAAATCGTATGATCATAATCTATGGGTTAAAATACAGTTTGTTCTCACCTTTAACTTAACCTGGTAATCTAAGCGTATTATTCAGCGCAATAGGTTTTCAAATTGTTTTTTATAGTATTTTCTTGAATATCTCTGTCTCTTCTTACTCTCTATTCATCTAGTTGGCCTTTTAATTATATATATCAATGTTCATAACCAGCATATGCGTGATCAGATCGTTCGAAAAGTATTGCGCTAATATATCACATAGTCCTGATAATCTTTGTCTTCTTGTTACATCAAACAAGACATTTAAGCCCTCAATGGAAACAGGTGATTTGTTACATAGTTTTCTGTATTTAATCGCAAATTGATTACACCGTAAGATTGAGTGACACCTAATAAGCTGATATCTCAGTGTTACGAAGGTATTACTCGGAGGGAGATGTAAGTTTAGGTCCTCATTTGCAGAGCATTCAAACTCACTTGGTATTCTGGACAACTGTGAGATCAGGTTTAACTTTTCTACGTTGGAGTGGCTAAAGACTTAACCGTCCACACCCAGAGTTACAAGACAAATATTTTTCTGTTATCCAGGTCGTTATAGTCGACTTCCTCTGAAGACTCATTTTGAGTTTTTAGGCTTTGGATATACTATCAATAGAGATACTATAGAAGCAAAGATCTACAAACTTTACATAAAGCTTCTCTATTGTGAAGAGCTCGTAAGAAATTTGTCATCGCACATTTGAAGTCAGTCGGTCACAACGTAGAATCTGTACTTCTGTACACCGATTCAATTCGACACACCCCATTAGCAAAGAGAGACAAAGTTGTCAGGCCGATTCCCAAAGTAGTACAAGTAGTAACATTATAAGTGGTGATTTAAAAGACTAGGGATGAAAGTTACGACTTAAGAAAAATAAAAGTAAGTGAAATCGAGACACAAAAAACTTATGAGCTATTCAAATGCTCAAAGTTTGGGGGAAAACAAACAATGAATAGACCTGTGCCATAGCAAACGATTTTGAGCCATGCCATTCAAAGCCTAACCATTGGTTACGATAATCACACCAATCCCAACTAGGTAACCTACTCCTAGCAACATGACTCAGTCCAATATTCAGTGACTTTATGGACTAATGGTGTGTTTTGGTTTGGCTGACCCCAGCTCTATTCCAACATACTCATACGCCACACAACATTGTGCGTCGGGGTGGACGGAGGTTGGGCATACGTAACACATGTTCCAACCACCCCAGTTGATCACGATTTACTACCACACTAATCGATTTGTCATATTTACTCAGTGTAGTGAACGAATACTCAGGTGGGGAAGACCAATTTTTTGTTTAGTGCAAAATTACTGAATGTCTTCATAAATTGTGAAAACCACACATAAAATAGATTCATTCCGTATTGTTTGTTTGAATCTTCCCATTGATGTTTAGGACTGCAATTGGTCAGCCTCTTATTGGCATATGTGCGTCCTGTGAGGATTGCCTCGATATTATCTTGAATCACAAGCAAAGACGAATAGTGGCTAGCAGTGGAGTTCAGGATACGCTTTTCGTCCTATTTGGGATTCGTCAGTCGGATGTACCTGCATCCCAGAGTTGATGTTCATTCTGGGATGCAGGTATATTCGACTAATGAGTTCCAAACAGGACGAAACGCACATTCTCGACTCCGCTGCTAGCCACCATCCATCCTTTCATACATTAAATACCTCATTTACATATCTTCCATCAACCGTCCTTCACATCCTTTATGATTCATCCAATTCTGTTTTTATTCCAATCCTTTTATGTTTGACTCTAGAATGTCTTTAGTTCACTCTTCTCAATCCTCTTTCCACAGCTATTCTAATCCTGATTGACGTTACATACTACTTATATCTGTCAACATAAGTAGTATACACCACACTAGTACGCTGTTCCTGACCCAGGTATTCCTTACTCTGTAGTCCCAAAATACACAAACAATGCCTCGAAGACAACCATAATTGGATACTAGTAACTCACGAATATATTGTATTCTTAGTGGGCATGTTACGTATAATACAAAACTGGGCGAACTGCCGCACAGTAAACTCGTTCTTCGGTTGGTAGAAGGATGTTTTGCCTTAATCAGACAAAACTATATCAACAAATAAATCTACTGGTAGAAGATCAACCCTCGAAAAGTCAGACGATAAAAGCATTATCTTTAAAAGCATGTCTATGACAGTTACATAAAAATGGAGAAAGCGGAAAACCCTGACAAACACCACTTGAAGTAACCAATTCCGATGACAGTTCACCACAAGCTCTGAATCAGTGAGTAATGTTCAAGTAGTGAGTTTATTTAATGTTAACATACTTTATTGGTAAACCTTTCAATGACAGACATCGCCATAAAATCTGTCGATCAATGAAGTCAAATACTGACTGAAGGTCAATGAACACAACTGTAGTTGGATGTAAGAAAGTATGTCTATGTTCCAGAACCTGCTGAAGAGTGAATATTTGGTCCGACATTAATTCACAACTCAGGTTGCTTGTAGAAAGTGGGTAACGAAAGTGTGGCTGACGACCAACTGAACTGTTTCCTAAAGTGTTCTGTCCACCAGTTCATTCTTCTAGATTGAGAGTGAATAATAGTCCCGTCTTTTCCCAAAATAGTTTCACTAATTCCCGAACCCTTAAGGCCCATTTCCTTGATAAGTATGAAAAGTTGTCTAGTGTTATCCGAAAAGGAATCTGGGTTGCTAGTGGTTTCAGCGAACTGAAAGCGTAATTGCCGACACTTATTACGCATGGCCTTCATGTGGGAAGTTAACGGTGTTAGTGCCACACTCTAGTAAGCCTTACCGTTGGAGACGGAAATCTATGGGATAAGGTGAGGTGTGACGATTTTGGGGTCAACCTTTCTTAATCATTTCCTTTGTTGTGAGAAAGCACAGTCGCTGAAGATGCTATCCGTCTAAAGGAAACATTTTACTGCTGTCACAACCCCCTACAGTCAGCAGTAAAACTTCGCTCTCAAGCATTAAGTTGTTGCTTTTAGTCTTACCGTATTTTTAGCCGACCTGCCTGACATGGTGGGACCTAAAAAACATGTGTTTCATGACATAAAGCTCCGCTGCATCATCACGATAGGCAACCCCGATCACTACATTCAAGTGAAAACAGACAGCTGTCTAAACAGAAACATGAAAAGAGGAGTTTGAATCTACGATCTGGTTGAAATTAGAACGACTCAGAAAAACTACTGCTTCGAAATAATAAACAGAAAACTAAATATTGCTATGTGTATGAAAATCTCGACTATTTGGTTGATTTATTCCCCCATCCGAGCGTTTGCTAAGCGAATGAATAAAACGAGATCTCCATTAGTTGGACAGAAGTTATCACTACTAAGTCTCTACATAAGCAAATGTTAGATCTCTATTATCATTCATGAAAACATCGCTTACGTAATATCGAGTGAAAATGACCGTAACATAGAGCGTGCATTTCACTTTACTCGGAACTCGGTAGTTAGATTAGGTTACATAAAGTAGAAACAAAAGGTACCTGCATGAAGGCTTATAGATTCAGACGCCGGTTAGTTACTTAACTTACTGAGGGAATGTCCAAACTCCGTAGCTCCTGATTTTAAATTGATACGCCCCACACGCCTACGTATAGAACTATTAACTACTGGGAATGTACGAAACAATCGAACAGAATGATGTGATATAGACGGATTAACGAAAGGTGTTGAGCTGTGTAGTTGGTTAACCAGTTTTGAGAAATGATGGCTACGACACAACCATGTAGCAGTGGCCAGCATTGTGCTGCAAAAGAAAGAAAAACGAAGCTAAATAGAATCTAAGTTATGCTGATAAAGTTATTAATACTTTCAGTCCAATAGCAGACATTTTTTCGAATGCTTGTTTACACTCCTATAAAACAGGAGTTCAATACATATTAATATCTTTCGGAATGTGAAGCCAAGGCAAACGGACCCACCAAAACGATATCTCATGGTACTGATAACAACTTTGGTGTAAAAATTAGACTTACCAAGAACAATAATAACTGGCTGCTACACCTAATATTACACGTATCTCTTCAATTACTTTGATGTATGGGCTAACTTTAGCTGCATTTGCTTTTTCTATCGAAATATAATGCTAGGAATGGATTTTACACATAAAATCAGGTAGATCTCCATAAAAACTGCAGGACTATCGTTGCATGAGTTCAAACGGTAGATTTCTATCTTACCAGGTTCATAACTTATTTATTTATTTGAACACAAATATTGGTACAAGGAAGCACCAAATACATATGCACCACGCAAATCTCATTTGGTTTGTGAGTGCTATGATACTGCTCAGGTGCCCAAACCGAAACAGGTGGTTTACTTAAGGGGCCACACCCGGAGCCTTTGACCTAAAGATCTGATCCTCAAGGCAGTGGAGCATCGTGGGGAGATACAGTCCCATGGTAGTCGGTGACCAACAATTGGTTCATACGCCATTTGTTCCTTCAGGATACTGGAGCTCATGTGCACCATTGGTTTGGAATCAGGGTTTTCCAACTCCTCTAGGTGAACCCTCCGTGTCCACCAACCCGGTTAAAGCGCCAGACATTCGCTTTTCGCCCTCTCACTTTCGTAAACAACACCCCCTCCACGAGAAGTCAGTGAGTAGGAATTCTCTGACAGAGGCTATATACGCGTGGCCGTGTGAGAGCATTTCGAGAGGGAATAGTGAACTCTCCCCACCCCTGGCCGTCCGCACCAGGCAATTCGGGGTCTAGTTCATAACAGTTAAAGGTTATGACTTTTGATTTATGGCTGGAAGCCAAATCTCAGTCCACTGGCTACGTATTGAGTAGCACTGTTGTACCTCTACTCATGTCGTGAAAATCATACCACACGAGCGCGTATCTGATGGGCTGAATCAATCATTCGGTTAAGCACAGCAAATAATAAGTCACTTTTGTAAGTGCTAGTGGGATGCATAACAGTCAGAAAAAATGTGACCCTCATTCAAAGAAAGTGAAGTGCATTATCATGTGATCACTTTTCCAGGAATGGTAACGTGATTTTAAATATAGCTGTTTTGAACATTTTAGCTTTTAGTTCACCAACGAGTCTCTTTGTGACATCCCAATCGTAGAAATCAGTGGCCTTGAGGATGATAGCGATATTCCTAGCTCAGGTGGATTCGTTACCTGAGCTGCAAGGTCTTGTAGTCAAGCCTTCACTGTTTTTCTGAACAAAAGGATTATTGTCGGTCAACAATAACCAATCAAGATTGAGACGGACAGGACAAGCTGCTAGTCATATGTGGAGAAATTAGGATACTTCACTTCTACCTGAATTTTATTCTGGTATTTAGAACGATGAAAGCTTCACAACCAAACCATCTGGATCAGATTACAAAACTCCACCAACTCAGTGGCGTGAAACTTAGCCAGAAATAACTCATAATAGGAGCTAGTAGCATTCTTGTTGTAGCATACTCATACATTCTCTATGAAAAAATAAATTTCTAGACTGGTAGACATTTCTTTTCATTGTTTTTCTTAAGAAGACTATATTTTACGATGAATACCGTTTATACTCTACCTTCATATGTGTTTACAGTATAATCATTCCCGTCTTGTAGAGCACTTTCTAGACCTCTTTATGCCAAAATTTATATGCTCTCCAAATAAAATTAGTACGCTCGAAAACAAAAGCCTAACTGATGTTACATATTCAGATTAATTCAATTAAAAATTCACCTAGGTATGGAAAAAAGCGCTAGAAACCTAAATTAGAGTGACTATTTTTGTAGTGATGAAACTGAGAAAATACATAGTTTATTAAAGCCATTAACCATTAAAAGAGCTTTTAAGTTTTTTCACAGAAAATTTAGTCAAAACAATCAAGCATCAAAAGATGTAGTGTTCATTTATTTTACTTATTTAAGCAAGCAAACATTGGTACGAAGAGGTACTGAAATAGATTTCCACTACAAGTCATTGAATTTGTGTTCTCAGTCAGCTACAACGTAGGACAAGGCACACATATGCATCGGTCAAAGTCGCGATACCTCATTACCACAACAAGATGAACACCGGATTCATAGTAGTTAATTTAATGGTGGCAATATATAAAAGAAAAGTTGTATATAAGGATATAGTACATGATAAAAGAAAGATACGAAGCAATTTTGATCTCAAGGTTTAAGGGGAGATAAAGAGTGTATACACCTACGCCATTGTGATCGATTCTGAGCAATGTCACACAGAGTCTCCAACCATTGGTTAGGATAATCTGCATCTACCAACATGGCTCAGACTAGAAGTTAGTGACTTTATAGATTGATGCCATATTTTGGTTCAGTCATCCCTAACTTTCTCTTACCCGTCTCCAACGCTAGTCAACATTGCGCGTCGTGGTAATCGATGTTCAGGCATACGTAACACGTGGCCCAACCATCTCAGTTGACGAAGATTCACAACCTCATCAATTGATTTACCATCATTCCCCAATACCTTGTGTCTAAGCTCACTATTACTTAATCGGTGACCCGAGCAGATGCTGGAAATAATTCTAAGACATTTGTGATCAGATACTAGTAAACTACGAGTATCCTCTACTATTAATGGCCACGTTTCTCAGCCGTAAATTAAGACAGAACGAACTGCTGCGTAGTATATTCGTCCCTTAATTGATGGCTGATGGACATTGTAGGTTCACCTAGAGGAGTTGGAAAACCCTGATTCCAAACCAATGGTGCACATGAGCTCCAGTATCCTGAAGGAACAAATGGCGTATGAACCAATTGTTGGTCACCGACTACCATGGGACTGTATCTCCCCACGATGCTCCACTGCCTTGAGGATCAGATCTTTAGGTCAAAGGCTCCGGGTGTGGCCCCTTAAGAAAACCACCTGTTTCGGTTTGGGCACCTGAGCAGTATCATAGCACTCACAAACCAAATGAGATTTGTGCGGCGCATATGTATCTGGTGCCCCCTTGGATCAATATTTATGTTTGAGTGGGTCCTCAATTGACAGATATCTAGTTTTCGCCATAGGTGACCAATATTTATGTGTTTAAATAAATAAACAAATAGGTGACGTAAGTTGGCAAAAGCCAAACGAGCTTTTGGAATCCGTGCTGAAATTTCGTCAGACACCAACCCATTAGGGCTGTTCAGACATCCAAGTGAACTTGTCGACGCGTTCGACTACTTCACTCCCGATCCTTAGTTCAGATGTTGACACAGGCCAGTCCTGGAGTAACAATTTACATTTGGATGGGGAGAAACGCATCCCAAACATCCTGGCATTATTATTCAGTTCTAACAAAAGACTCTTCATTTTGTCAGCGTCTTCACAAAACAGGACTATATCATCTACGTACTCTAAGTCGATAAGTGGACCTGCTGGTAGGAGATCAATTCTTGAAAATTCAGTCGACGAAAGTGTTTTTTCCAGTAGTACGTCTATAATGAAGTTAAACAAAACTGGGGATAGTGGACAGTCTTGTCGGACATCACTTGAGGTTGTAAAATCATACGACAGTTCGCCATAAGCTCTGACTCGACTGGTAGTGTTCAAATAACTTATAAGCCAAATAAACGCACAGGTCACTGAATGTATCCATAGTTAGTGCCTTTAAGGTCCTTGTCTCAAACCGACCACATTACCGAAGACCTATTCACTCATTAGCTAAGTTTGGGGTCCACTGTTATTCTAAACCCTTTATTTCCCGAATGTTGGGTTTGTGGTCAAAGCGCTCGCATTTCATTTAAACCGCCATAGACTCAAACCCTGATGCAGCTATTATAGGTTGGGCAGCTAAACAGTACTGCTAAACCACATGTCAATAATGGTTAAAAGTTAGATACATTTAGATACACTTATTAAATGCATGAAATCTCTCTCAAGTCGATTTCCAGCTGCTTTACCTTTTGAAGCTTTTTACTACGGTTTGCGTAAATAGGATTGTCAGTAGAAAACATCATTTCATTTATTTGTGTGAGGGCTGTGATACTGCTCAGGTGCCCAAACCGAAACAGGTGGTTTTCTTAAGGGGCCACACCCGGAGCCTTTGACCTAAAGATCTGATCCTCAAGGCAGTGGAGCATCGTGGGGAGATACAGTCCCATGGTAGTCGGTGACCAACAATTGGTTCATACGCCATTTGTTCCTTCAGGATACTGGAGCTCATGTGCACCATTGGTTTGGAATCAGGGTTTTCCAACTCCTCTAGGTGAACCCTCCGTGTCCACCAACCCGGTTAAAGCGCCAGACATTCGCTTTTCGTCCTCTCACTTTCGTAAACAACACCCCCTCCACAAGAAGTCAGTGAGTAGGACTTCTCTGACAAAGGCTATATACGTGTGGCCGTGTGAGCATTTTGAGAGGGGGAGCGGAATCTCTCCACTCATGGCCGTACCAGGGCATCCAGGGGCAAAGTGGCTACCGCCTCCGGGTGGGCGGGTACGGTATGTGCTTTGCACCCTCCAAGTGCAAAGTACTCCTACAAGACTGGCAGGATTCTAAACCTGTACTCACCCTGGATGGTGAGCAGATTGAAGTAGTTAAGAAGTTCGTGTATCTAGGTAGCTACATAAGTGCTGGTGGTGGCAAGAGTGATGAGATCGATGCACGTATAGTGAAAGCCAGAGCGGCTTATGCCAATCTGGGCCATCTTTGACCTCTCCGAGTTGAGGATGTTAGATGACTCTCTGTGTTAGATCATCGTTGTCTCCGAAGGATTGCTGACACCCAGTGGCAACACCATGTTAGTAATGCAGAGGTTCGGTATCGAGTGTTCGGGCGCAGAGACGATGATTCAATTGGTGTCACCATTTTGAAACAGACTCCGGTGGCTTGGACATGTTTTACGAATGTCGTTCCAGAGAATTCCACGTTGTGCATTATTTATCGACTCTGGGATTGGTTGGAAAAAGCGGAGGTGATCACTGTATGACATGGTTCCGTGGTATGAAAAAAGCTGCAAAGGGCTAGCTTCCGTTGGTCCTTCACGACTCTCTGGATGGGGTCCGAGAGACGGGGCAACACATTGGATAGAGACGTTATCAGATATGGCTCAGAATAGAAGCCAGTGGCGAGTCTGCTTTAACCTTCTTTTACTTTTTTCATAAAGAGTGGTTATAACTTTCTTAACTGAAAGAGTCTTCTGGTTGTACATTTTAGTTCCCCCCCATCATTACTCTTCTTTTTTTCTCATCCTATTTTTTCTTTTATATATGCGCATCTTCCCCATTTCTCTTCCCATTCTTATTGTTGTGTGGCGCATATGTATCTGGTGCCTCTGGTGTTTAAATAAATAAATAAACTACGGTTTGCATCTCAATAAATCTGTAATCCACACCAATATCTAGCACTACTTGTAGTAAATGTCGCTACTTGAACCGAAAAACATGTGCCAGGTTTCCTACGTTTTCTGTTTATCTGAAAATGTCTGAATGCGCGACAACCTTATATCGAACCTCTCCAACAATAGCTGATCGCAATGTGGTATATTTGAGTCCATCGTTGAGTCACTTAGAGTCGCGTGTCAGACGATGTTTTGCCTCATGACTGAGGTTGCTGTTCGCTGGAAAAAGATAGTTATCTAAGTATATATGTGGCAGAGGAATCAGGCCAGCCAAAATAGTGTGTAAAATATTTGCCCGAAATACTTCGACGTCTCTAGAGCTCGTGGAGAGAAAACCGGGCTGGTTTCAGACCTGAGCGTAGACGTATAGACCAAATGTTCACTTGTCATCAGGTTCTGGAACATAGACATATTTTCTTATATCCAACTACAGTTGCGTTCATTGACCTTCAGTCAATATTCGACTTCATTGATCGACAGGTTTTATGGCAATGTCTGTCATTGAAAGTTTTACCAATAAAGTATGTTAACATTAAATAAACTCACTACTTGAACATTACTCACTGATTCAGAGCTTGTGGTGAACTGTTACCGGAACTGGTTACTTCAAGAGATGTACGTCAAGGTCAAGTAACTGCTAGTTTTAATGGGGAGTAAACCAACCAAAAAGTCTAAATTTCATATGTTCACTGCTTCCCAGACGCGATTAACCGCGAGATTTTAGATCCGGAATATCGTTTTGTGAGTCCGAATCGTTAACGGGCTCGACCATCACTCCAAGATAGATGTTATTAGTAGTTTCTTAGGGCGAAAAACGTCTATACCCTAAGATTAACTGACATCTAGCACAATGGCGGTTATTTTATCGGAAGAGGCTGGAGTTTATGAGACATATTGCTAGTGAAATAGCAAAGCCAGACAGTGAAACACGTCGGACGGCTTATTTTAGTGTAGTTGGTACAAGGTTGTATGTGTCTAACCCGGTATCAAATGTAGCATGAGTTAACATACAAGCCGCGATTTATTACCACCTGATCTAATATACACCGCTGGTGGTCATTTAACACTACAGAATAGTGTATAACTAGTTTACTACAAAACGACTGGAAACTTACCGCGGGATGACGCAATTTAGGAGAAAATACCGCAATAACGTTACCAACCAAAAAACCCGGAACTAAGAATGATCTAGATAACAGTTTGGGCAACCTTCACATATCCAATATCCAATATCTTTGTCACGAACATGTATGGGCATTTTAATTTCTTTGAGCCGACCTCTTGATGTTTCGGTATGGTGTTAAGTATTCGCTAATGTCCTATATATGGTGGTCTAACCACTCGACTACACTAATTATCGTCAATTTGGTAGTTATTGGTGGATTTGTATATCTTGTAGTTCAGTGCTCGCGTTTGTCTCAGGACATTAGGTTTGTGGATGCAAGCAGCTATCGATCATTTTACCAGGTAGGAGGTTGATTGGTTGCAGTATGAAATAATAAAGTAATAATTCGAATGTTAAGAGAAGCCGATTGTTTTGAGAATAAATACTTCATTCGCTAAGTTGTTAATGTGTAAGAAGATGGAATTGAAAGAATAGGAGGAAGATGAAGATGTCACCGAAAGAAGCAGGAAGTATTTACTGACACGCGGTAATGATAACAGTAATAAATTGTCGGACATATATCAGATACAAACAAACTAAGAATCAGATGATAATCCATGGGTGGGTACGTGTTTGTCAAGTCTCTTGACGCTATCCACTGATGTGGCTGCTAGAGCATTCTGAATGAAAGTGAGAGTGTCCCCGGGTATTCGTTCTTTGAAGTGCGACATTACGGCGGTTATCTTGATGAGCGTGGAGATGGCGTTCTGGCAATATGCTCGTTTTGGAGCGGCTAAGTGTACTTAATATGTTGTATGCTGTTATCACATGACCTCTTATTCTCCTGTGACTGAACGAAAATAATCTCAAGCTTTGGAGTTTTTCCTCGTAAGACTTATCTTTTAGTTTTATCTCCCCCTTATTTTCCCATCCCTGCACTTGGTATAAGAGATTAATAGCCTTTTGAAAGAGGCTCGCGACAGCATTGTGGACATCGAATTCGGAGCGTGAGCGCGCTTCAAACAGCGTTAGGAACAACTCTGAAATGGTTGTGCTACTTTTTAGTCGCATAAAGTGGAGAGTTGTGTTTGTCTTGGCTTCTTCCTCCACAGTGTTTGGGCTGAGGTCTCAGCGCTCCTTGGTTACAATCCCGAAATCATGCTCTGCGGAGACAATGTGGAGTAGATTTCCATGGAGAGCGTAATTGCTTTGCATAAAACGAGGCGATTTGTTCATGACATGACATTTTGAAAGGCTAAATTCTAACCCACTGTCTACCATCCATCTCTCCATTGCTGTAAAATCCTTTTTGAGATTCAGATGAATCATTTTCGCCATATATTGACCTCCAGATTTCCCCATCGCCCGAATAGATCAATGCCTACGAGCTAATTTTATCTAGCACGTCATTAGCGATGATCAGGTACAGGAGTGAAGCCAAGATTGTTCGTTGTGAAACTCTTTATTTTGAGACCCTCCAACTAGTGTACATTCTATTTACCATATTACGAAACATCCTGTTCTCCAGATAGTTCCGGAGCCAAGATAAAAGTGAATGAGGAAAACCCATCTTTGCAGTCCTTCTTATGAGAAACACGTACGGCACTGTGTTGAACACTTCTACGGATAGGGGAATAATACATGGACCGACATGTTTTGGTCTCAGCTGGTCATCCATAATATGAAGAGATTTTCACACGGGGCTTGTCTTTCCTAAACCCATACTAGGCTTCGTATCTCAATAGGAGCACATATCCCCTAATTTGTGGGCTTTTTCCTATGATGGATCTGTGAAGACATTTGAGTTTATCTTGCATTTCGGCTCCTAGCTTGACTTCAAAACATCGCCTATTTCGTCGTTCTTTGTCGTCGCATCGATTTCTCGATGCCATATGAGAGCTATGAACAGAATCCTTCAGAGAGGCTTTCTACTTATACTGGGCTCTCCGTCCGGCCTGTGGCGAGCGTTCCGTGCCTTGCTTAATCCAGGACCTTCGCTATCCCAGTGTTTACTTACCCTGAGGTACACTGCGTTCGCTAGCATTTGGGATGACGTTGTTCACTTTCTCACTGTGATAAGCAACCGATAGTCTCGACCGATTTCTCAGCCTGATCTATTGTAGATAAGGTAGGGAACATTCTCTTTCCTTTAAAGTACCTCGTTTGTGATCATGTTAAACATAACCGTACCATGATTGTTTCTTCCTATTGGTGTGTGGACATGGATATCCAAAACTGAAAGCTGATCATTTGTCAGTAAAAAATTAGATTTCAATGGTTTTCTGTCTCCATGCCATCTCGTGGTACCACCCACATGTTCAATCAGTCTTGGACTTTTGATGACCATAGCAGGCTGCTCATGAAACAATCCTGTAAGTTTTGTATCATGCTCGCCGAGATTCAGGGTTGAAGTGTTAAAGTCTCCAGCTGGTACTATTTGGTCAAACCTCAGGTAGCTTTAGTATACCCTCCTATTATCCCATCATTTTGGAAGTAAGAACCTGTGAGCCGGCATAATCTTTTCATCAAGTGCTTCGTTCCGTTCACATTGTAGCAACACCAGCATGACTCTGTCAACTCTGCTAATTCGGTACTGTATGACGTTACCGCTTTGAAGTGACTGTTAGAGTATTTCTTCACTGCATATACAGTATTGTAGATTCGTCATCATGTGACTACCTAATCTATAAGATCCTATGTGGAAGTCAAATCGTGTTTATACTGACTCGTCCTATAATGAAAGTCACCAACATAACGTCTAACATTTCCAAAGAACACATTTTGTGCTGGTTAGGGGGTAATATATCCAATATAAAATAAAAGGTTATATGGGGTGGCTACTTTTGGATGGTTGAGTCAACCACCTCGACCAATTGATTCTGCGTTAACTAATAATAATGAGATGAATGTTCAGATAAAAACATGTTACATGAGGTATGCCAGTTCGCGAGCAGAATCAGATTGCTACAAATGCTACAGACCTCACTTTCTTAAGTTACTCAATTATGCTGATATGTTAAAGGGACTTTGAATGCTCTGCAAATGAGGACCTAAACTTACATCTCCCTCCGAGTAATACCTTCGTAACACTGAGATATCAGCTTATTAGGTGTCACTCAATCTTACGGTGTAATCAATTTGCGATTAAATACAGAAAACTATGTAACAAATCACCTGTTTCCATTGAGGGCTTAAATGTCTTGTTTGATGTAACAAGAAGACAAAGATTATCAGGACTATGTGATATATTAGCGCAATACTTTTCGAACGATCTGATCACGCATATGCTGGTTATGAACATTGATATATATAATTAAAAGGCCAACTAGATGAATAGAGAGTAAGAAGAGACAGAGATATTCAAGAAAATACTATAAAAAGCAATTTGAAAACCTATTGCGCTGAATAATACGCTTAGATTACCAGGTTAAGTTAAAGGTGAGAACAAACTGTTTTTGAAAGTATTTCAAATACTTTACCTGAGATCGCTGAATTTATAATTAGGTTCTGACCGATAATGAGTTAAACATGCTGTTATATCAATTGAACATCCGAATCTTGATAAAACAACAACAATGGTTGGAGCGTCATTGATTTAGCACAGGAACAAGGTCATATAAGCCGGTGTTCTGATTGTCGATTTTGTCACATGATAATTAACTGGGGCGAAATTTATAACACTGAGGGCGAATTCGTTCTGCTTGCGATACAGCAGTAAGATGCTCCCCTCAGACATCCAGCATCTACAGCTATGCAGTCTTGTCACAAAGAAAGGAGAGAACTAGAAAAGATTAACCCCAAAATAATGTACTTTATCTAGCTCCATAAATTTCCGTGGCCACTCATAAGGCCTTCTAAGTACAGAGGTAACACACTGAAAACCAGCGAAGAGGCCGTGTGATGGAACTATGAGATTACTCTACATGTTCATCAAATTCACCCTTAATCCAAGTCCTTTGAGAAGAAGCATACCTCCAGGGTAATATGAAACCTGGACGCGACGACTGATCGTGCAAAAATAACGGCACTCGAGATCTACTTGTTCACGACCAAATCCATTACTCACTTGTCCATATTTCTATCTCTGCTGTGGTCCGTTCTCCTATGGCTCCACCAATGTCAACGATCCGAGTTCACGAAGTGAGATTTCTGGTCTCCTGAAACTATCTTCTAAATGTCATACCATAGTTTTCCGCGTTCAAAATTTATATCAAATCACATAACAGGCTTCATTAACTAAGACTCTAGAGTTATGCGCCACTGATATATGGTGTTTTTTCACATACGAGATACAAGTTTGATCATTCATTCGGTTTCATTTAATCAATATAGAAGATGGGAGCACTTTACCCTCCGTTTATTTGGGGTCCAGTGTTAATTTTTATGGTTTTTCTGGAGTGTAGTTATTGCATTTTGTTTAAAACCAAGATGAGTTCCTCCACTAGATTCTGGTATAGTCGTTTATATACTGTCCGACCAAATAGGATGGTAAGAACTCAAACAAAAACAAACACGGTTTCCTACTCATCGTCTCTCTTCTGATGAGTTTGCAGAAAGCTTATGAATTTCGAAAAGCTTAATACTCAGACATAGTAGTTGTAGTGTGTGAAATAGTAGTTTCAGTAATCAATCGAAGCCTAACTCGGGCTCATGAAGAGCAAGCCAGAAAGAACTAAGGTGGTTGCAAGCATGTACAGAGACTGAATATTCACTCTTCATCAGGTTTTAAAATTAGCCATTCTTTCCGACACTGGACTGTTTTAGCATATCTTGACCCTAATGTAGTAGATGAAGTAGTTGAGTGCATCAAACACTTCATTTATCTTGGAAGTGATATCCGCCTCAGTGGGTTGATGTCCTATGAAGTTTGTTTACTGATTCGGAAGGCTCAGTTGGTTTTCGCCGACTTGCGTCACTTATGGTTTAGACGAAGTATCTATCTGCCAACTGAAGAAATACAGTTTGGCTGTTCGTTCTATCCTTTCTCATGGATATGAATTATGCCTTTTTAAAAAAGGATACTTTGAGGTTAATATTATTTGATCATAGATGCCTTACTAGGATTGGTCGCGTATTGGGGACCATTGAGGGAGCAATACTGAGGTTAAAACAACTTACTGGTTTGGGAGTTATTTGTACTTTGGGCATAGTTTTTGGTACAAAAGGGCATTGAATACGTCACACATCTTTATGATGGATTCTGTAGCACGTATTCTATATTTCCATGCTCAATACAATTTCGCCCACATTAATTAACATCTATCGATTGTCATGCCTTTCTATTCACTGGAACACGTAATACTTCAACGATGTCTTACCCAAAATCTATAGGCTGTAATTGTCTGACGTGCCTATCACTTGTAGAAATAACCTCACAAAAGAACTTAAGGTTAAGCTACTGACCGGCAAACATTGTTGGTGAGGGATCTGATTTCAACAAATCCGTGTTTTAAGGGCAGAATATTTTTCCAATCTTGGGCACATTTTAAGCAAAAGTGAGGCATTCATTCAACGAAGTTATTGTCTTTCTGCTATGTTCATCACTTTTAAGACTTGTGATACGACTTTTTGTTGGTTCTGTTGTATTCTGAAGATAACCTATTTTAGGCTAAATCAGTATATAATCAAGACTCTCAAATACAACACGGAGAACACCAATGCAATCGCACTTGTTGGATAAACTCTAGAAGAGGTGGAAACATTCACGTACCCGGGAATCAATATTGATGAACAAGGAGAATTTGATGTAAATGTAAATGCTAGGATTGACAAAGGAAAGGCAGCATTCCTACAATTGAAGAACATATGAAACTCAAAACAACTGTCGACTAATTTCAACGTGAGAATCTTCAGTACGAACGTCAAGACAGTCCTACTGTATGGAGCTAAAACATGGAGAACAAATACATCCATCATCAAGAAGGCAGGAGTATTTATAAACAATTGTTTACGCACAATACTCAACCTTCACTGGCCGGATACTATCAGTAACAGCCTTTTTTGGGAGAGGACAAACCAGCTTCCAGCTGAAGAGGAAATTAGCAAAAGGTGTTGGAAGTGGATTGGACATACATTGAAGAAATCACCAAACTGCATCATGACCCAATCCCTAACGTGGATTCCTAAATGGAAGCGGAAAAGAGGAAGGATAGAGAACACATTACGCCAGGAAATAGAAGCCGATATTTAAGGATGAATGGAAACTGGAAAGAATTGCTCATGATAGGGTTGAATAGAGAATGCTAATGGGCGGCCTGTGCCACTCCACGAGTGATTACAGGCGTAAGGAAGTAATTATCTAATGCTTTGATTAACTTGTTTGTATTCAGCGAAAGAGAATGATCGACAAAGGATAGAAAAAATAAGGTTTTTGGTGTTTCAGACTAATAAGACTTTTACATTGTAGGGTTTTTCGGACAGCGACCTCGCCTTATGCTTCGGTTTTCATTCCACACACTCTACTTTTTTCATATTTGTGAGGTCCGAAACTCATCAATATTATTAGATAGATCCGCTGAATAAATTAGATGATCATTCTATGTGAATGTTTCTTTGTTAAGTTTTGTTGGTTTGCTCATGTAACCTTTTCATTAAATCGACCGGGATCGCACAGCATGCGTAAAATTTTGTTCCGAATTGCCGGTGATTCGTGAGAGAATGTTAGTAATTTATTCTCAAATAACAGTTTGTTACGTGGGGCATGCTGGATTACAGGCAAGATCAAATTGTTACAGAAGTTACAATTTTCGCTGTTGAAGATTACTCAGTTGGGTTGATATTTTATAAGATATGAATGTAAGTGGATTTCGTATGAAACATATTAATATCACACTTGGTGCACTTTATGGAGGTAGCGTTGCAACATACAACTGACAGTCGAGAATAGATACATGCGAAGTTGGGGGATTTTAGAAGCTTCGACCTTATATCCCTCCGGAATATCTGAGGCTTTAATAATGGTGTAGGATGAAGTCACCTGTGCCATATCTGTTTTTGTTGGGGTATCTCTTGGGGGCTGAAAAAGGTGTAATAAAGAGGAATGACCAAAAACAGAGCACACAATATTCATATAGGAATAGTTAATCTATAACCATTTAATCTATTTGTTTGTTACTGAAGTACTTACTATTACTTATTATTACAATGTGTTAAAGAAAAATAAGTGTGAAAAAGGTATGAGTGGATAAGGAACTGTATAATTGAAGGTAGTTTAAAAAGAAGTATGGAATTATGTGTACTTATAATATATAGTGCTGAAAACAGTATTTCGATACAAATGGCTGTTTCTCTTTTTTTCGAAGCTGTTTGAACTTTCTTTTTTTGTTTTTAGATTTTATAGGATATAGAGTGGGCTTCGTTTTTAGTCAATTGTCTAGTTTGTTTGTTGGCTATCTCAGATAGATTTCCTTTGTATAGATCCTGTAATTGTCAACAGCCATTTGTGGAGGTTGAACATTTACATTATCAGATAGCACTAACAGTTGCTCTAGTGTATTGTCTTGCCAAGAATATAAATCCTTAATTATTAGGCGATCGTACATCTGACAGCACTGTATCAGGCTCTTCTTTATTAAAAGATTTTAGCACGTACTATGAGAGTCTAACCACTGACTAACCACGAAGACTAGCATCGCTGGATGAAATGTCATATGAAATTAGTGAAATAAACAATAAGACAAGTCATCTACATCATTAGAATCAATATCTCTCACAGAGCCAACAGTCATGCGCCCACGTTTCTTAGCTGAATTATGGATTGCTGAGTATGAAAGCGAATTCACGGTCCCCAGGCGTCTCATTAATTGACAACCTCGTCCAAACATTGAGCTCAAACCAAAATCTCATAAACGAATGATTTTAGACTCCATCAAGAAAAAAAATCAAACTATAATCCTAAATCACTCAAAGAAACAGAATCGGGGTAGATAGGAACTTTTGCTAGTAGCTTTAGGTATAAATCAGTCGATCTATATGTGGAATGACAAGTTCGTGTATAGGCCAGCCTGTTAGTGAGTTACTGCTAAAACGCCTACCGGCTACAAGCCTTCAACAAATAACAACACCAACCGCTGACAATTATTGCACTGATGGGGGATCATACAAAGTCTAAGAAAGTACTAGACTAATTAATAACCGTACTCCTATTTTTGTAACTGAACCACCGCATGTTCATTCAGCTAACCGCGAGTATGAAACACAACTAACGTGAGGCTTCCCATCGAAAGAATTTCTATACAACGATGGACAGTTACTTCAAAATCCCATCTTCCTTGGCAGTTGCACAGTGATCTCCAGGTTGCTGATGTTTACTTAGGTTTTTTATGTATGTGCATCATTATAATTTACGATGATAAGCCTTTCAAGGTCCTTAGATTGCTATCAAGAGGTCGTGATAATAAATTACAAAGTAAAAAGATGTATTTGTCATACGGTACTGTAGGGTAGATTTAGATACCAGTTGAATAAAGTCGGCTTCGACCAGATGTAACTAAACGTGTGGTGTCTGTGAGCCGGGACTGTTAGGAAGTGAAATCAATCTACAATGAATCAGATGGAAAATTTATGACGTCTACAGTAGGTCGAGGTCATATACATTAAACAAATTCAGGTGCAAGGCATTTAGTATCAAACTTTATAGAGCTACGAACGGTAGTGTGCCTGTCCATTGTGACACATTTGCGACTGAGAGACGTTTGATTGTTGGTGGAGTCAGTCAGCAAAACTATCGGCTTGTGAATGGCAGGTTTTTATTCCTTTAGTCACCTTGCTAATGAAAGCAAGATCAATAGGTGATTGACTTCAGCAATGATTTTTGTTGCATTAATAGCGGTGATCACCGAAATAAATTGTACCGAGAATCTATCAACTGTAATAGCATTCGTCGAAGCATCTCCTCGATAATATTCGTTCACAAGTAACTCTAAATACCTTTTCCGATTTTTCATACTAAAATAACTTCATTTAAGCAGGAAAATGTTATACTAATACACTGAAAGCCTGTCTTTACAACTGTTTTAAGAGAAAACGGGTTGATGAAATTTAGACCATTCACAGGCCCACGTGATTATTTTGATAAACCATTCGTTTTCGATGACATTGAAATATTTATGTATTCGGTAGTCTGTCATAAATACATACAGGTTTCTATCAAGAATGTTGACTGTAAATCGGCAGCTCTGAACTGTATCAATAATGCAATAATTGTTTCATTGCTATAAAAGTTCATGTGGATACACTTTTTTAATTCTTGCTTATGGTATTGCTTGGAACCATTTCCTTACCTTTTATGTACCGATTTTCCGACTAATAATTAGTTCATACCTGTAAACGCACTAAACAGGAAACAGGTTGGGTAAAGAATATTGTCTCCGTCCTACGGATATTGTAAACATGCACCTACAGGACAGTACCCAATTAGATAACAATTGGTCAGTCCTGGAGTTCAAGGCCGAAAGAGTGTCCTTTGTCGTTTTTGTCTGGAAACCTATCAATCTTGATAAAGAGTCAGCTTGGCGCTTAAGGAATACCGTGAAACATGATATCCGTAATTAGCTGGAAAATAGAGGACGCCGTCTTCAGTTCAAAGGGTAATCGGTTATATAGGAAAAGACCCTTGTGTGTGTTGATCGTTAGATCTTTTCTTTCAACAGATACATGGATTTCTAAATTGGCGTCTGATAAATCCAACTTCGCAAAATACCTGCCACCGTCCAGCTTGGCGATGAGATCTTCATTCAAAGGTAAATGACACTGGTGAGACTCTAGAGCTTCATTTAGTTCATCGGAGTAATCCTCATATAAGTGAACACTGCCGTAAGACTTTTTGACCACCAATATTGGTGAAGCCTAATTTCAGTTCACCGGTTCAATAACACTCATTTTCTGGAACCTTTCAAGTTCTTGTTCAACTACTAGAAGAGAAGCAGGAGCCACAAGTCTCTTGCGTCGAAAAAAGGGAGTACGTCAAGATCTGAGGGTTTGTAATGCTTTGGCTTTCGTGCATTCTGCAAATCCTTCTGTAAACACTTGGTGGTGTTTTTGTAGCATGTCCTTTTTCTGGTCCCACTCCAAGGGGTTATCAGTTCTGATCAGGCTTCAGATGTTGTTAGTCGAATGGTCTGCTAGTTTAAGTGTCTTATCAGATCTAA